TGAGCCCAGTGGACGGTGGCAGCCCCCGGTGGACGGCGGCGGTGGTGGAGGTGGAGGTGGTGGTGGCGGTGGAGGTGGTGGGCGGGGCTGGTTGGCCTCAGACGTCTGCTCAGGAGCAGACCAATCATTTCCATTTTCCCCTCTGTTGCTCTGTGGAGATAAGACACCTGCGTGGCTGCTGCTAATCAGATGAGCTCCAACAGAACTTTATCACTGACATTTACCACTGTTTACTCAACTAATTTCTCTTAACTGCTCCGCTGAACTTTTATCTGCAGAAAACACATCCGGCAGCAGGAGGCAGCGACAAGCAAACATGCAAATTCACAAATATGTGGAGGAAGATAAAATGAGAAAGAAAAAAAAAATGATTATTTTTCTCTTTCAGAGGATGATGGAGGTGAAGATGAGATGAACTTCACCTCCTCCTCCTTCCTCCTCCTCCTCCTCCTCCTCCTTCTACTGGTTCTTCCTCAAACGGTGGTTCTTGACTCAGTCTTGGCTCCTGGTCTGTCTCTGGTCCTGTTGTCCACCACTGAACCTCCTGGTTCTGTCCAGGTCTCAGTTTATCAGGACTTGGTCCTGGATTCTGAAAGTGTCTTGTCTTGGTCTTTCTTCCACGGATGTTCTTCTTCTCAGGTCAAAGGTCGAATGTTTCCAGTCTTATCGACCTGTTATTGACTAGAACCTGGTCAACTCTCTGACTGGTTCATCCAGAACCAGATGTTGATCCCAGTCTGATCCCAGGTTCTCCTCAGAGCTTCCTGTTTTAAACCCTGTTGAAGCTCAGCTGCACTGGCTGGACTGAGAGAGAGAGGGAGGTGTCAGTCAGTCAGTCAGTCAGTCAGTCAGTCAGTCAGTCAGTCAGTCCGTCAGTCAGTCCGGTTCAGCCTGGACCATTAGCCCGGAGGTCGGAGCAGCAGCGGAGATAAAGATTTTCTCTTGTTTGGTGTCAAAAAATCAATATCTGAGTCTGAACGTGTTTGAGATCAACGACGGTCTGTTTAAAGAAGCCATTAGAGTCAGTGTGTGTGTGTGTGTGTGAGTGTGAGTGTGTGTGTGTTTAATTTACAGAATCTCTGTTTTGATTCAACAGTTACTGCAGGACCTTTGGTTTACCATTCACGCCCCCTGCAGGACAGTGAATGAACTGCCGTTTGAGTTTGCTGCTTCCTGCCATTTTTTTTATCTCTGTTCCCACTGTAATAACAGGGGTCAGCAGAGGGTCAGGTGGATTTGACTCCGCCCACTGTTGATCGGCCAATGAGCCGTCAGCAGATCGCACAGTGATGGAGTGCACAGATAAGAGGGGCAGAAAAATAAGACCCCTCAAACCAGGACCGGACTTTAGACTCTGGAGGTCAGGTTTAACTAATTAATTTTTTAGGTAAAATAGACTGCTGCCCATGTAGACTGCTGCCCATGTAGACTGCTG